CTTCCTCCTGAACAACGCTAGGTAGATTGTTCCAGAGTTTGGGCACTAAATAGGAAAAGGATCTGCCGCCCACAGTGGATTTTGATATTCTAGGTATTATCAAATGGCCAAGAGTTTTGAGATTGCAGTGGACATGAAGGACTATAATGTGATATGAGCTCGCTAAAGTATTGAGGAGCTAAACCATTCAGGGCTTTATAAGTAATTAGCAAGATTTTAAAGAGCAGGTCATATGGTATTTTAAAGTGTCCTGATATTGTGTTGGAGTCCCCAACAGCAGGTTTAAATGCATCCAAGGACAGAAAACATTGTAATTTTCTCAGAATATACATGTAATATTAGAATAATTTTTCAATGATGTCGAAACGATATCGTTCGAAGCAGTTCTGATCCAGTCAGCAAATTTCCTTTGGCGCGGATCATGGCCAATATCAACAGCTAAAGTGTGGCCCAGATTAGTTTGTGTTCGCCGGCCCAAAACTGGTCCACATCTTTTTAGCCAGAACTGAACCTAAACAGTGCCATAACCCAACCCAGAGTGAGCCAAATAATAAAAACAGATGTGGCTGATATATGGACCTGTCTGTCAGGAAAAAGAAGAGAAAAAATAACATTAGTATAGGCTATCATAATTAGTATCATACATTAGATATTATTTCAAGACAAGCACATAAATGAGTGTAAATCAGCACTGCACACATTCTTTTCTATCACCCAAGACATGAGTGCCTTTTTAAATTAGGAAAATTTTAGCTACTTTAATAACAGGCTATTTTTAGACATAATACTTAATTATATACATAATATTAATGAAAACATTAGTAGTGTAATTGTACCTCAGTTTTGAAGTCACAGTTTCATACATTTTTGGTACAGCAGGGGGAGAAAACATACAATTGCTTTTTTTTTATTTTTTTTAAATAGTGGTTTACTGAACAATTTATGGCTCTGCCTTTAAATAAACTCAATTATAATTACAATTTTCTTAAGGATAAAAAAATCTATCTTAGCTAATGCTATACAATAGGGAGCCCATTAGAGCACATTACTTAAATATTAAAGGCTGCATTTAACAACAGAGCCCAATCTATTAAATTAAATTTCTATTTATTTGTAGATTCAATAACCAACACTAAAAAAAAAATAAAAATAAAAAATGTATGCAAACATATAAACTGCACATTTGCACATTGCAATTTTCTAGCAACAAGCTGTGGAATGACTTGCCTGCGGTAAAGGTAATGCTGTTTTATTGGCATTTTTCCGCGGTTGCAAAACTGATTGAGATTACATGACATGAGCGTGTTTGTTTCGCGTTATAACCAGTTGTAACTAGAAAAGAGTTTTAAAGGGAAGGGATGATGATATTTGGCTCACTCTGGGTTGGGTTATGGCACTGTTTTGGTTCAGTTCTGGCTAAAAAGATGTGGACCAGTTTTGGGCCGGCAAACACGAACTAATCTGGGCCACACTTTAGCTGTTGATATGATCCAGATCCGCGCCAAAGGAAATTTGCTGACTGGGTCGCTCTCCGCGCTTCCACTTGCAGCCGTCTGTCACGCCACATCAACGAGCATCAAAACGGCATTTATGGATTTAATTTCCTGATAAAATATACATAATTTTAAAAATGAGACTTTCTTATCGAAAAGAACAGAACACACACCTTACGATTACAGAATGTAATGTATAGTAATAATGTATAGTGAAGATTTATTCCCGAATTGAAACGGATTAAGTTCCACACGTGCAGTGGTTAAAATGACACTGTATTTGTTCGGTACAATTTTCGGTACGAATAAGTGTACCATTACACCCCTAGAAAACATTTAAAACACCAAAACTGCACTTACCTGAATAAGAATGTGTCTGGGCAAAGGCTGTTCTTGTAACTAGGGAGCTTTTTCATCATCTTCTTCTTTTTTAACGGCGATTGAAAGAGGAAGCAGAGCGGGAAATAACGGATATATTTTCAAAAGTTCAGTAATCCATTAACATATTCCATGGTGTGCCATAGCGAAGCCACATATGGCCCTCAGTTGTGTGCTATCATCTGGACCATATACCTAAAAAAAATGGTCATCCAAAAGAAAATTCCCTCCAATACTGAATCCATGGCAAAACATATACGGTTAAAGTTTGGCCCATATGTGCTTAGCCATGCCATACCTAGGCCAAATGTGACAGCTATCAGCCACATTTGGCCCAAACATTCTTGCTATCTGTAAACCCCTCCCTTCCATAAGACTACTCTGCTCTGATTGGTCAGCTGGCCAAGTCTGTTGTGATTGATCTTTCCTTATATATTGCGTGTCAGAAACGAAACGCCCATTACCATAAATAGTTTTTTGCTCCAGAGGGTTACTTGTAAACACAGATGCTATTAGATTACAAAAATGGCATTGATATTACCTTATCAATTCAAGCCAGAGTCCGAGGATGATACCAATGCAGTCGCTCAACAGGAAAATCCATCGCAAGCTCGACTTGATCAGGACGTTTCTCAGTGGTAAATTTAAACTTTGTATGTGGTGCTTTATGTGATATGACAGCAGTCTTATTGCATTCATTATTATTATTTATTTGAGGAACTGTGTTAGACTGCCCAGTGAGGCTGAAACCACAGCGTCTTCTCGACATGATGTAAACACACTAACTAGCGGAAATGTTTGTGGGCAGGTCAGAGTGTTCGCATTTCGCGGGCAAGCA